ATCTATGACAGAGGAATGTGTGACTCACCAGAACAGTGTCTCTGTCAGTTAACACTGTCAATTTCCGTCCCCTTGCTGGGATATGAAATGTAAGCCCTGACTTCTTGACCCGATCAATATCTCTATTTCCTGGTAATCCTGTTTTCACATCTGTCTGTATTGTAAGATACTCATACCTTTAATACGCCAAAGAAATCAATGGCTCACAAATTCAACCTGAACCTCTTGCGCTGGTGGTCGCAGAGATCAATTGAGACCGTGGTTATTTCTCTAATGAGCTGTGATATCAGTGTGAACAGCACAACCCCATCCTCTGTGTAACCCCAATCATCCATGTGACCCTTCATTCAACCATTTCAAATAACAACAACACTGACAACAGCTTTATTTTCTTTATATAATATGAAGGTGTGGGATATAGATTTCAGTTTATGTTTCTAATATATTTTCTGGTTATAGGTACATTTGCTTTAACCACACATGAAATGGAGTAGAAGAATGTTGGGATGTTTGTTACAGTGCAATACGTTAATGAATATTAATATGAGACTATAAGAAGGTACTCAAGTGGAACATAGGTGGTGCTGAATCGAATAATAATAACAGTTTTAAACAGAAAAGAGGGCATGGAAATATTGTATTATATATAACAGTATTTGAATGATTAGAGATATGGTTTTAAAGAGTTGTATTAAATTGCCAATTTGTTTCGATCTCAGGTAAAAAGGAGATGATTGCTGTTATATCTGGAAACCAGATGTTTGTATTAGTGAACAGGACAGATATGTTGTCCTCTGTTTGTGCCCAAGACTGAAAATTGACAGCCATGAAAAATTGTTTTCAGTAAAGCTGTTCTGAAAATACTGATTATTCAGATTTTTTTCTGAAAGGTACAACAAAATCAACAAAGTGAAGTTAAGTAGAAACGATATCAATTGTAATAATCATTACCATTGTAATAATTACCATCATTTTATACATATTCAGGTTGATAACTCTCTTCAGTTTGTTACATGTGTGAGTCCACTGACGTTCTCTCACTCCTGTCAGTGTAAGCCACTCACAGTTCTATGTCTTCTCTGATGCATGACTGCTCTTTACACCCTTGGGCCAATTACAGCATAAATGACACGGACCAAAGGTCGATGCCCATTCTCATTATCAGCTCAGAGCTCTCATGAAGAAGAAAAAAGGTGATTCAGATGTATAGCAAAAAAAAAAAAAAGATTAATTTGAAACAGGAACGAAAGAAATCTAGTGACCTTATATAAAATGGTTTATCAGCTCCAGACAAAACAATAATTCATGCAGATGGATGCTTTGACAGATGTTTTGACTGTGGACTGTCCACACGTCATGATTATAAAACAGCAAAGGAAAATAATACATAATGGAAACACTGCAGAGAAATCCACCTCATAAACAAGCTCAGAAGATGTCAAGCTCTCTAATTTATCAAGGTACCTGATGGTATTGACTGAATCACATTATTCAAAGCATTAATTTTCATGAGACTGAGCAGTGGGCAGTTTGCCCACTAGGAGATGCTATAAGGCCCGAGGCAAGACAAATAGAAATCAGACCTGCAGACTTAAGGATACTTGGGGAGGTGATACAATGTAGGTGGACATGTAGCGTAAAACAAGATTGAACATGTTTTTAACAATCTGCAGCTGAAGCTACGTTTTAAGCATGTTAAACAACCCCGAATTTCCTTTATTATGAAGGGAATTTGATAAAGAGCAGAATACAGAATACTTAGAGCCCTTTAGTGTGCAAACAGTTGTTTAGAAACTGTGACTAAATGTTGTGTGTGGTTTATAGCATCCAAATAAAGTCATACATGACCTGCAGGAGGAAGATAAGTGTTTCTGTCCGTATTCTTCCATTTTCTATACACACCTCAACCTTTCAGCTTGGCTCTTTTTGACCTTTATCTCATCATCTGCAGAGTCTTTTTGCTCTCAACCCTTCCTCTGTATTATGCTTTTGTAGAGAGCACTGTTTGAATAACAAGACTATCTCTGGAAACCCCCCACTCCTCTCCTCTCCTCTCCTCTCCTCTGCTAACCTCTTGGCTGAAGCAATGCATTGTGGGCAGCTGGACTACTCTAATAGACACGTGGTAATTACAGTAGTGGGAGGCAGCAGACAGTGGTGGTCCAGGGACAGCACAAAACTATAAATCACGACTCCTGGTTCCGCCCTCCTGAGCGTAGCCGATCACGCTCAACCAAAAAGCAATTCTGCCAACATGTGTTTGCACATTTGTCTTCATCAGCCACTGGCTTGTTTTGGGCCCCTGCAACTGAATTTTTCTCTCCTGTGGTAATCAAACATGGACTACTTCTCAAGTGCTTTTGCTTCCAAGTCCGCTATATTACAGTAAACTCAACAATTAGCCACACTTGAAATGCAGCAACAAAATTACTCTACATAAGCAAAAAGCAATATCATGAACTGTTGAAGAGGATATTATATTTTTACCTTGAACATCATCAGCTGCTGAAACAAAAAAGAAATAAAAAAATACTACTTGTGTGACTGACAATCAAACCTCAGTAAACAATCAGCGCATTTCCTGTTAATGTTTCTTTTTTTGGAGATAGCATGAGATGCTTCCAGGAGAAATGTCTAAATCAAAGAGGTGCAATAGGAAAGGTGTGAGAAAAAGCAGGCAGCGGTGGTGACTCAGAGTACAGTGTGTGTCCTCCCCTGCTTTATCTGTATGGACAGCTGCCTGTCAGCCAGCTGAGCCCATGCAGGGGAGAGGTGTCTGCTGAGGAGCTGGTGTCAGCAAGGTGAGAGCAGAGCCCGGCTACACTGAGCCGAGCTGAAATGGATGCAGAAGAGAGCGCGTCTCCTGCCTCTGAGGGACACAGATTTTCAGTGAGGAAACAGAGACTGCTGGAGCAGGAGAGACTCAGCCAGACAGAACATGAAAGCCAAGAGCGGCCATGACACATGATGGACACAAACGCAGGAAGAGAAGCTGCCTCCTCCTCCTGCTCCCCCTTTCTCCCTGCTTGCTATTCTCCTTCAGAAACAAGACCTCTGTAAAAAGGGGGAAAGAGGGAAAGGGAGAGATGATACTTGAATCACAGAGGCCACCGGTTGAACTCTGCCCCCCTGTAATGTGTTGGCTTTGATGATGCCCGAAATGTTTAGAGGATGCAGGGAAGCTTCAAAGAGAGCTGCATGGGCCAATCATAGAATCGTGGCATGTTGGTAGGAAAAAAGAAAACAACAAGCTGCCAGAAATCCACATGCATCTTTCAAGAGAGACCAGGGGTCAGGCAAGAAGACAGCTGAAAACAATAGCGAGAAATGAAAGGTGACATGAATTGAGAGGTAGATAAATAGCTGCAGGGGAGGAAGGAAGTATGTGGTTGGTATAAAAGGATGTGATGTAGGCTTTGGTCTTGGAAAAGCTGCCAGTTGGTCTAACGAGACTTGGCAGGCCAGTCAATAGACTGTCAGCTGTTAATGCCCACATTCCAGTGACACCAACACTCAGTTTAAAACTGATTAATATATCTAGTGGTGCATAGAATCCTTAATAATAAAATGCTACACACAGGGATGACAATGAGGAAAACAAAAGAGATGCAGGTTTTGTCACGCGTGGCTCAACAAAATGGACCTATAGAGAAATCTGATATGACACTTCTTTCTGTGTCAGCTGCCTCAAAGAATAAGGGGAAACACGCTAAGGGATCAAAGGTCACACAGAGCTGAGGGGTTTGTCTGACAAAACACGCACAGATCATAAAATATTGTTAAATTTAATTCTTTGGAGCGAGACCTGGACCGTGGATCCTCCTGTCTAAGGTGGGGGTGGGAGTGTTATTGTGGTAGATGGACAGTGAATAGGATGGTGTTGATTCACAGTAATCTAGTCGATGCCACCGACCCCTTACTTTATCTCCACTTATTCCCTTGCTGTTTCCGTTTGTGATCCACCTGCCCCAGCTGCAGGCCACATCTGCAGGCATGATAGATTTCATCCACTGGGGCCTCTGCCTCTAAATGCCACAGTGAATTACTTTCCTCTTTTTCGGCATTTGCTGCAATCTGACCTGGCAGCTCAATGGTGAGCCACAATGGACTGCCCCCGGCGCTTTTTACAAACACAAAGGTAAGCTATAACACCTAAGATGTAGATAAAAATGGAGTATAAATGCAGGTAACCATCTTTTTTTAAGTCAGACATTGGTGCTTTTCTTTCTCTATGAAATATTCTACCTCTCTGTGCTTGCAGTGAATCAGATGTAAACAGGGGGGTCTAAGACCAAACTTGTCATCTCACAGCTTCAAAAATCAATAGAACCCACTTTCCCCCTCTATTCTGAACACGTGTGGAGCGAGATTCAGCTGACTGGGCCTAAGAAGGAGGCAGGGAAACAGAAAGAGGTGTCAAGGATGCAGACAGAAAGGAAAGAAAGGATGAGAGGTAATAAAAATCAGAAAATAAGGGTTAATCAATTTATATTGT